ATTCAGTTAAATTATCACCTTCAATTATTTTAGTCTTTTTGTATCTATTCTTGTTAATTAAAAGTTTTAAAAGAGGTGGTACATACACACTGTTTGAAATAAAAACAAGTGTTCTTTCATTAATGTTTATTTTACTCAGTAGTTTCTCTTCTGGAACCATTTAAGTTTTAAACTAAAATTTTTTATAAGCATGAACAAGAACGAGAAGACTGCAAATAAGAAAGTTCAAGTACAAAAGAAAGATTTTGAAGAAATTTTGTTAGAAAAGATTGATATTCCCTATTTTAAGAATAACCCTGCCTACTTATTAAGATGGAAAAAGTATTATGAAACGTTTAATGATCCTAATATATTGTTACTGATGTACTATAAAGAGATAGGTAAATATTATCACTGGATTTATATTGAACTGAGTGAATTCTTTTTAAGTAACAAAAACTATGAACTTGCTAATTTTGTTATTAGTTTAGCTATTAATCTAAATGTCTATGATAGTAAGGTACTAAAACAACAGTTAATTAAAATACCCGAGTTTACTTCTAAGTATTCAGATAGACAATTGTTAGAATCATTGAATGTTCGTAATTTTGAATGTATGGGTTTATTATGGAATATAGAAGAAAGTGTCAATGAAAGCATTCCCGTGTCTAGTTCATTCTATACAACATCTGAAATTGATAAAGAAAATGACAATGATACATCAACCACTTTATTTAAAACACCTACCTTTAATTTTGATTCAATTCCAATGATTAAATCCTATGAAAATGACTATAATCTTAGAACAAGTGCCAAAATAAGTATTGATGGGTGTTTTTATTTAATTCAAAGATCATTTGCTATTGAAAATTTTTTAACAACTAAAATTTCACAGAATACTAAAAGTGAGTCAGAAACACCATTAATAACAGATTTTTTATTTACACAAGTAAATCAACTTCAAATACCACTGATTTCATATTTAAAACTAGGCATTTCATTCTGTAAATTTAATGATATATATTATACAATCCATCCTTTTGATATATTTAAATCATTTAGTGAGGTTTTAAGGTTTTTCAAAGAAAGGAAACATAAATATTATTATTTAGAGAAGATTCTCAGAGTCAACATCAAAGCAAGCAAAATAGGCTATTTTTTAATCAATTTAGATCATTTTTATATTAATGATGAATTTTTATTTGGAATTAACAGATTTGAGTTTATAGAAGCAACATCACAGAGATTAAATGATTTAAAAAACGTTTTGGTAGAATCTTTTCCTGATTTTGATTATAGTTTAGATTTACTCGAAATTTATAATGACTTATGTA